AAAGTGACAACAAGTATTTGTTGACATCACAAAAGTGGCAACGAGTGTTCGTTGACATCACAAAACAAAGTTTAACTTAAGAACCAGGTAAAAAAAAAAAATTAATAACAGTATGTCAAAATGACAATTTTATTTTCGTGACACTCAGATACTCCCGGGATAATTTTTATTGTTTTAAAAAGCTATTTTTAGTATTTTAATAAAACCATAACAAAAACACCTTGATAATGAGAGAAAATAATAAATATTTCATTATAGTTTGTTCATATATTTTTATAATCTTGTAAATCTAAAATTATTATTATAATGAACTGTAAGAACATTTATAGAATCTTGTAAATGAATAATTGCTATAGTTCACAGTTTAAATTCTATACTTTTGTAAAAAAATATTTTTTATTGTTCTAATATGTTTCTTTTATCATCTTGTAAAATAAATAAACAATTGAATAAATAAAGTGTTTGGCATTTTTTTGTCAATTCCCGAGGAAAAAAAATACAAAAACAAACCAATAAATCCATTTTCAAATTTTATCTCTGATTGAGGAATCGGAGAGCTGAGTTCGAATTCCAGTCGAATACATTACATTCAATTACGTGCTAATACCCTAGGGAAAGGTAGTAATCCTCTTCTTCTCCCCCCCCCAGCTATGGGTAAATAGCAGGACAGACTAGGTTCTATAGCCTTGGATGGCATCTGGTCTACTGCAGAAAAAAAATAGCAACCTACAACGGGAAAAAAATCTGCCTCGTCAGTCATGTATCGAAAGATACATGATCGTCTAAGCGTGTGTCACGCATGGCACATAACTGACTGACATGGTTTTATTAAAATTCTAAAAATAGCCTTTTTAAGACAATAAAATTACTGGAGGCGTATAACGCTAATAACGATGTCAAGCGAAAAAACATCCCTGTGACATAGCGTTTTTTTTTGTTTTTTGCGAGGCGGGGATGCCTGGTCCTAAGTTAAACTTCGCGCGCGCACACACACACACACACGCACACACACAGTAGAAAAACATTTTTAACTGTTTTTTTGTTTGTTTTTATCAATTCAACCAAGAAAGGCGATAATGCCATTAGGACGCAGGAGATTACAGGGAGTGAAAGAGAAAGAGAAGACTTTAGAGAAGAGAAGCGAGGAAAGAAAAATAAAGGAAAAGGGCCCATTAAGACAGAAGATGGCGACTGACGTCGCGTTTAAATTTTTGAAGATTGTAGATAAACACGAAACTACTACTACTACTATTACTAATAATAATAATGATAATACTCAAACAACAAAAATAAGACCAAAAAATTAATTCAAGAAATCAACGTTTTCAAACTACATCAATTGTGAAGTAAACATGAAACTCGCATTGAATACATTGCCGTTTGTGTAAAATGAATATTAAGAATGCAGAAACAAAAGATAATGAGAATTTTAAGAAACAATGATTTATCTTAAATGTTCAAATCACAATGATTATCAAGTATTCAGTATGTAGCAAGGCGACGCATCGTTTATTATCCAACAAGCAAAACGCTTTGAGCGAACCACTTAAAGGCGACCCTATTATCAAATACTGATAGTCATGTGAGGTTTACTTCCATTTTGGGTATTGTATATCGAGAGATTTCTGGAAGGAGCCAAGTTATAAATTATTCAAGCCGCTCTGGTTTGCCTGGTTACTGATTCCATGGAGAATATGACAGCCACTTGAACACGTAAGCGATATTTGCCTTCGAAGAATTTTTATGTTATTTTCTTTGTATACCAGTAGCAGCTGACTAGAGACAGCTTTTCTGGCTTCCATGTTATTTTTATCACTCGATTGTGTTTGAAATCAACTACGATGCTCACAGATGTGATTTGTATTGAGTGTAGTGATCAGTGAGGGAATGCTTGTGTTGTGAGAGCTTCAACGTGCCACCAACGAGGTGCACGATACTTTAGCGCCCAGCTTACCAATCTGTAGTGGATTGCTTATTCGAGGTTACGAATTTGTTGTAGGAGACAAGTCGCAGCTAAATGGATGAATAATATTAAAAACAATAAAGATTTTGTCTAATGCCATTATGTCTTTGTCATTGGATTTTACACAACGTATTCTTGAAAATTTATCTAAAGGTCGATAGATATGGAGGATAGTGCGAGTTTTTCGTTGGTGGGTCAGTGCGGATGAGTGGCTAATTCATCTCTGATTGACTGTGCGCTTGTAAATTGTTCTCTCCAGAATGGACGGACGTCTATCAAATTTGACGCCTTTTATAGACGTCAAAGTGACTACCAGAAGCGCTTAGACGCAATGAAAACTAACTGGTCCAAATATATATATATATATTTTATTATTAATAAATGAAAATAGTTCACAGTACTTATCTAAACCGACTACAACATTCGCAATGTTAACGCTCCTCAGGGGTCAGATAATCTTTTTTATTTATTTATTGGTAATAATCATTTCTCTAGTTTTCTATTGAACATTCTTACTGACATAATTCTTTTCCCCTGGACATACATTAAATTACAGACTTTTACGTATACCAGTAGATGTTACTATATATATATATATATATATATATATATATATATATATATATATATATATATATATATATGTAGGTCAAAATAGAAAAGAACACGTTAGGTAAATAATCCGGGATTCTTTAGTATTTTGAACATTTTTTATTTTTAAAATACAGTGTTCCATACAGAAGTAGAGCTCAAATTAGAATTATTTAAAAAAGAAATATGATTCCTTCGCTACATAAGAGTTCTCATGTTTCAAAAACAAGAGCCAAACCTCAATATAATTATTGAAATTAAATTGAATTAAAGTATCGAGCCCTGTTTCATCCTCAAGCGAAAATTTAGGAGTAAAAAAAAAATTAATTTCTTAGTCTAATAAAAGGTTTAAAAGCTTAACCAAATCATTAACTCTTTCTGAAGTCGTCAAATAACAAATTGTAGTTTAGTGCGACGCGTTTATGTATATATATATTGATAATATTAGTGGTCAATATATATATATATATATATATATATATATATATATATTAAAGACATTTTTATGTTTAACGTTCTTTTTTATAGATACAAGTATTTAAGTAAATGCTCTGTTTATAATAAACAGTATTAAATAACATTTACCGGCCTGAATGTCCGTTGCAGGTTCGAATCCTGTCAAAGGACGAATATTTTCTATGAAAATTTCTCGGACATTCAGGCCGGTAAATGTTATTTGATACTGTTTTTTATAAACAAAGCATTTCCTTTATATTTTTAAATACTTGTATCTATAAAAAAAAGAACGTTAAACATAAAAATGTCTTTAATAAATAAATTGTCGGACTTTGTCCATTTCTTATATATAAATATATATATATATATATATATATATATATATATATATATATATATATATATGTATTTCTATATATATCTGTAGGTCTGATGAATTGGATCGTCATTACGATTCCAGTGTAATAAATTATAATATATATGAAGAAATATACTCTTAAGATGTGCTATATTTATGGGATAAAAGTGCTCAATATCAGAGATAGAGCGTGAGTAAATATAAAAGTGAACATATAAAGTCAACACTTAGAGGCGACAGTGTGTTTTATACTAGATTCAATCGTCAGGCCTGACGATTGCATCTAGCATGAAACAGACTGTCGCCTCAAGGAAAGTGTTGACTTCTATGAATCACTTTATATATATATATATATATATATATATATATATGTGTGTGTGTGAATTGAAAAAAGGGAAAGTAGGAAAACGCTATAAATTTGACATGTTTCGCTATTTTTTAACTTCATCAAAATATTTTAGGAAATGGATAGAACGAAGTTGTTTCGATTTTTAAATACTACCTGACCACCCCAAAACACCTTGGGTTCCTTTTAAAAACATTTCATGATACAAAATGATGAGATAACAATATTATCAATTTTATTATTAATTACACATATTTTAATTTGTGTTTGCAATACAAGTTATTGCAATAATTATTATTACTTTTCATTATTACTTAGCTCAAACATAATAATAAATTAATAATTATTATATTTCTGTTATACATAATTGTTTCTTCCTCGCATTTAATTAAAAAATATGTAACGGCGGCAAACTAAAGTGCATCTATTTATTTACCATTAAGTCATGTGACACAATTTTCCAGCCATATAGATTACGCATATATGTAGGAAGTAGTAGAAATGATACACCCACATAGCATCTTCACCTATTAAATACTTGCCAAGCATCCGAGATATTTGTTCATAACAATTTATAATGTAGTGTAGTGAATGTCTTAAATATATGTTGTGTTATGCATGTTAAACTTATTTAATAATGTTGTTATAATGTATTATGCATGTTTACTATTATTCACGCACATAATAGCTGGAATATAATATGCAAGTGTTTGTTTATATACGTGGATTGATATAAGAATGCGTATTGAAAACAAATACTGAATTTCATATTAAAAATAAGAGAAAAACAGAAAAACGTCTGTAGCTCAAGAAACCCTTGTCTAATTTTAATGAAATTTAGCACTGCATTAGGCAGTTCAAGGTACAAAATACTTGGTGTATTGTTATACTTATGTATTGTTTAAGCTGTATCTGGGGAACACACATGCACACATAAATACAAGATTAGAGTTTTAGTATTACATACAACTTTCCAACCAATAAAAACGAAACAGCATAGTAGTTTAGCTACTGACCAATGAAAGTTATTTTGTTAATCTTTTTTTTTTCTAAACTTCGGATCATTTTCTTTATTTCGCGTAGTAGTTCAAGGAGGGTGTTAAATCCACAGCTTAACAAGTAGCTGAATTTTAAACTGAAATTTCCATTGTATAATGTTCAATCTATGTGATAAATATTCACCATTGGATTAAGTGCATTCACAAGGAAGGAGATTAAGTTAAAAATAGATATTTGTTGTAATAAATAAATGACTTGAGTCTGTTAACCAATTTGCCTGCGGGTTACAACCACATCATGTTGAAACACCGGTTTCCGTACGATCACCGACGTTAAGCAACGTCGAGCCTGGTCAAGACTTCGATGGGTGACCGCTTACGAATATCAGATGCTGTAAGCTTGGATGTGGGGGTGGTGTAATTGATAATGGTTCGGAATTGTCAATTGGAGAGCCGAATTTCAGTTCCCGTTGGGTTCGTTATATTCACTTACGAACAAATACCCTTAGGAAAGATATGAATCCACCTTTTCTCCCTCCAGCTATGGGTTAATTAATAAGACGTATCACTAAAACTATTATTATCTAAAAAAAATCTTACAATGTAAAAAATATTTTCTGGCTTTAAATAACCTCCAAAGGGTTGATAAGTCGTAGAAAACGAATCAATTAATCAATAATTTGCCTGCGTGTATTTATCTTCGTATCAAGATACTAACACCGGACCAAGCAGTCTGTGTTTTTCAATGGCTACAGATTTTAATTTAGCTGGAGAAGAGTAAAATTTGTCAACGGCATAAGACGGCAGTTCTACATTCATTTGTGCGAATAAGTTGTGCTTGCAATATAGAAAATACAACGGGTACTTTAGCGTGGAGTAATGTTTAGTGAGTTAATTTGCTAAACTATTAGGACTAAAAAGTGAATTCAGTCATCGCTAGGTGCTCCATAATTCTGTCCTTGTGCCAACGTAAGCTAAGCTTAATAAATCTTCCACTTCCCTGTATGTCGAGTCCTCTTTGACATGGATATTTTTTCTTCACTTTTTATACATCTCCATTCCCATTGACATATCACTCTTCGCTTTCTCATTGGATCTCAAAAAACACAAAAGGACGTTCACACACCCCGCTCTGCCGTCGGATCAAAAACCTTTAGAACAACAGACTTACAGGATTTCACTCCCATTGAGTCAGTTTTTAGTCCCTTGTCCTCTTCAAAACAAGACTCCTCTGTTTTTCCAGTAAATGTTCCTTCCAGGCTGTAAATCTCTTAAGGACTCTACGTGGGGAGAGACGGTGCAGGTGAGATTCTAATCTTGGCGAAAAGGTCAGGCGAATGCAGACAAAGGTCAGCGCGACTCATGACGAACACGTCAGTCACTTTACTCCCACCTAACCCTTAAGAAATCCTGCCCTGTTTTAACAGGTCAAACTGAAGCAATGTTTGTTTTGTTGTCTGTGTTCCCAGCAGATTGACAATGCAGGAAATAAATATAGATGTTTTTTTTTCTTTATCTTTCCACGTTTGTCGTTCTTTAAGTTTCCAAATACTTCTTTATTTAAAACTAAAGGCAAATGCGAATAAGCAGCCAATAAAAAGGTGCCTAAAAATAAACGTGAAAGAAATTTAAATCAGTTTCTGTGGGACACTATGTCTGTAGATGCTTACAGACTGAACAGATTTTTATTTGATGCAAGGATATGTGTGGCGGTTATCGGCAAATCGAGTTCAAATTCTCGCAGAGGTGCCTGCGTTCACATACCCCTAAGAAAAAGTATGAATCCATTTATTTACCCTCTTAACAGCTATGGGTTAAATTGCAGAGCAGAGTGAACGCTGTAACTATGGTTAGCAGCCAGTCTAGAGGCATTATTCTGAATTCAAAACTGGTTTACCGTGGGGCTAGAAACACCTACTTGCTACATAACCACAAAAGCACCACCTAGTGTGCTTTGGCTGTGACGCTATCTTCCACGAGGTGTCTATAGATTCAAGAAGAATTCTGTCATAAAGAGCATAACAATGGAGCACTCGGTGAGAGTCAAACTCACAACACTTGCAATGGTTTTCGAGCGTAAGTTGTTAAGCATCTAAGACAGAACACATACATACCTAACAGCGATCAAATGATGTCTTTTAAAGCTTAACTCGAACACTGGTATCAGTGACAATTGTCAACTGTTTTAACCACGGGGTAGGCAATCCTTAAAACTCAAAGTAGATTCAATTTTGGTATGACTTTTGGGATGAATAATTGTCATTTTATAATCAAATTTATTCAAACAATATTTCTCGCCTTTGTTATTATATATATGAGATATGAAATGGGCCGAGTGGTTCGAACGTTCGCTTTCTGACCATGAGACCCGGGTTCAATGGTCGATTTGTCAGGAAGGAGACTTCTTGATGTTATCAGAATGGATCGAGGTCGATCCTAGCGTGCGGAACTTTTAGAAAGTGTCTGAAAATCATACCAAGCCTTGTAAGTGAAATTGGGTAGACGGAACTCTTGAGGGCCGTCAATAGCTCTGCTAGCACAAAGCCACAAATCATTGCGGCCGAGGGCTTGGGCGTACTGGCCTTGTTCAAATTATTGATTATGCTAGATAACACGCTCTCTCCCAGAAACTGTAACTAAGGTCTGGTCAGTATAGTTGCAGTATAAACCACAATTTGGCTCTGTGGGTGTTGAGCAAACACAAATGGGCCTGAGCAAGCGTCTGCAACAGGGATTGGCTAGCCGCCTTAAGTAGACGGGTATTCTCGAATACGAGTTGCCAGCTATTATTATATAATGAAATGGATTAAATTCGACAATTTAATGTATTTTCTGTTTATACGTTATTTTTTATAAATACAATTTATTTAAGTAAATTGTATCTATAAAAATAACGTATAAGAGCATTTACTTAAACATTTTGTATCTATAAACAGAAAATATATTAAATATATGATGTGTATGTATGTAAATTATTTTCAGACAGAGTGTATCTGTTAAGGAATAAAATGAATATAAGAGACAAGAGGAAAAACTATTCTTAGCCTACGTGTAGGATTTATTTTGTTGCACGTGTTTATATACAAAGGCAAGGATGTCATTAGTTTATCAAGGCTTTTGAATTTGAGAACGTTCATGAATTTTCATCAGGTGGTTGAAAGGTCAGTTAAAACATGTAGAGGACACAGCGTCATAATTCAAAATCTGGTAAAAAGTAAGTGAGAAATATTAAAAATTCTTCTTTTTTTTCTTAAAAGAATATTGTTTAAATTGTGATAAGATTTTTATAGTATTTTTTTATATTAGTCGCTTACTTTTTGCCAGACTTTAAATCATGGAACGGTGCTTTGTTGACAACTGAGTTTATGGTTTCATGGGTTTTCACCACACTAGCACACTACCATCAGTCTAAAGTGGACCTGTGAATCAAGCCACACGTTGACAGTCCACCCCTCAGGTTCCAAATAGCGTCGTTACGATCCCAGTAAAACCCTGTATCCAATGTAATGATGTTAACGTAGGCATCCTGGTGGATTCTCTGTTCCCATAGTCCTAGCTGGATACGGTAGCGGAGGGAGTCTAAAAATATTGGTTGCCAAGAGACAAAGGGTACCTACCCACAACTACAATACTATCGTTTAATTTTCATAACAAATAAATAACATTTTAAAAAATACGTATGGAAAAAAAGGTACAGTTCAAATCTTTTGGAAAAATGTGTATTTTTTAGCAATTACAGTGTACATGAACTGTACATATTACTGGCAGCAGATACCAAATGTAAATAAAGAATGTTATAATTTAATTTTTAATTGGTTGATATTTTAACTAGTTTACTGCACAATTTACAGATTAACAGATCGTTCAAAAGCACGATAGAGCACTGCATGCAGTCCACTACATTAAGAGCAATCGTTTGTGTTCACTAGATGATTGTTTGAATCTGCCAATTCTACATCCAATTCATCTAACAATTCCGTGTCAATGTATGATTCCAGATTCTCCCCGGACAGCGAATTACTTAACCTTGTCTATGATCTTTACTTTTGAAAATGTCCTCTCACATTGAACTTAAGTAACTGACAGTGTGCAAATCTGGATCTCCACAAAGCACGTGAACCTGATGGGCTTGTTGGAAATCCTCATCTGTTGTTCCTGTCTTTAAGAACTCGTCCGAACCTTCCAACTATCGGCCTATTAGCTTTCTACCTATTTTTAGTAAACTAGTAGAGGCCCGAATCAATGCTGAATTAGTTAAGCATTTGACATTGAAGGACCTTTCAGGCAAGCAATATGGCTTTCGTTTCTATTGATCAACTGCTGATGTATTAACGATTATTGCAGAAAGAATCTATCAAGAATGGTGAAGCTCGGGTTGTGACATCTCGAAAGCGTTCGTCAGGCTTTGGCATACCGGTCTTCTTTACAAGTTTGAACTGATCCAGTCTTTCTTATCAAATCGTAATATGAAAGTTATAACGGCCACTCTTCTAGATCTTTTTGTACTAATGCAGGTGTCCCCCGGGTTCTATCCTAGCATCTACGTTGTTTTTAATTTGCATTAACGACTATCCTGGTGACATCATCTCTCAAATTGTTATCTATGCTGATGACACAACCAATTACTCCTGTTTCGATACTAAGTCTGATCTGTTCGATAAGGTCAAATTGGCTGCTGATGTAAAAAGCGATCCACAGCCTGTTATTAACTGGGGAAAAGTATGGCTTGTTAATTTTAACGCTTCCAAAACAAAAACAGTCACTTTCCCACCGCTGTAAAGTTGCTTCCAGGTGCCTTTTCTATAAATATTTTCATGGTAATTGTTCGGATGAGCTCTTCGCTGTGGTATCTAAACTTTATGAATTTAAGCGCAATACTAGATTGGCAACAAGGTCTCATCAATTTACAGTTGAACCGTAAGTTCTATGCTAAATGTTCCTTTTCTTTCACTTCTCGCTTGTGGAACTCTCTTCCGGTCACATGCTTTCCAGTTTGTTCTTGAAAGATTTTAAATGCAATGTAAATCGTTCCTGATTACTCTTCTATTGTTCTCGCTCCCTAGTAATGTTTCTGCTAATTATTTCACACCCATTAACCCCCTTGTGTCTTAGTGGCTTTACTGCCTTCCTTGGGATAAATCCGATTAAAAATGAAAAAAAGATGACTTTATAAAGTTCTTATTCTTTTTTATTAATAAAACAGTTGTCTGTTTGTTTGTTTATCGTATTTTGATTTGATATAGAGGGGGCACTCCATCAAGGCCCACTTGTCATCGGACAAGCTGACATCCTGGCCATTCCCCTCTGGCTGGATATTCGTCAGGAACTTTCAGCATTGAATTTAGATGTAATTTGAGCCAATGTTACTTATCTATTATCACAGAAATTTCTAGGTAGAC